TGCGCGCCACATCATTTATTGTCTATCCATTATTATGCCTTAGCTATATTAACCAGTTAAAAGTGCATTTGAATAAATATAAACTTTGCTTGTGTTTTCCCCCTGTAGAACTCAGAGATGACCCGTAATTTCTCCAAAGAGGATGGAGCTATGTGCCATTAGGACAGAGTACTGACCACGGTCAATGGTACGCTTCTGTTTCTTTATTCTATTATAATTTCACTTAAATAAATTAATCAGATGATGTTAGGTTGTAATTCACACTCCAATGGAAACAAAACTAAATGAAAATTCAATCAAGAAACGGTCTTGATCTGAACAACCTATTGAAAAATCAAAAACCAAATTAATCTTTGGAGATTGAACAAGGTCTTACTGTTTCATTATAGGTTCTTCAGACCAGCATTGTAGTTCTGAGTTCTTTAAAGATCAAGTTCATTGATGGTTTTCCAAAATAACACGAATAAAAAGTTCTTTTTGGAACCTAAACAGCATCTCCTATGGCATTCAACTGGACAATCCTTTTTGGTTTTAAATGGAACCTTTATTTTAAAGAGGAAGTAAATCGTTAAAGTTGGTTAATTTTTAAGTTAAAACTCATGTTTTTGGAAAATATTATAAAGGACAACATATTTTGTCAGACAACTCTCAGTGTCAGGTGTTCTAATTTCTTTTGGTCATTGTGCCAATGAGCAAACAAGCTTGGATTCCCCTATCAGCTCTAGCAAACCAAAGTTTTCCCTTTGGCGCCAGACTGTCTGCAGTCCGCCTGAATCCACAATGTGTGTGTGTGTGTGTGTGTGTGAGAGAGAGAAAGAGCTCTAAGTTAACTTTTCTCCCTCTCATCTATGCTGCAGGTGCGGGATAGAAACTGTTCTCCTCCACTTATGGAAGAAAAGAGAGTGAAGGGGTGAGCCGGGTGAAGGAGTGAGGCTCTATTCAGAGTGTGGGAAAGCAATCTGCGCCCCTCTCAAGCTGTCTATTCTTTGGTCACTGGACACTTGAACAAACCAAAGCTGAGGAGTTTTGAAGATCACAAAAAAGAAAAGCCCTCCAATTTTTTTCGTTAATCATTCCTGTTTTTTTGTTTTGTTTTGTTTTTTTGTGGCAACAATCAAGCATTGTATATTTTGTACTGGCTACATTCCTGACTATTTGGACCAACTAATATCTCTTCACACACCCTTCCTTCCCAGCCATTCTTGGATATACCCCCTCCCTTTCTTTTTTCTTGAAAACTTTTCCACATTTCAGCATGATCACAGTTTGGTCTCAGTGAGCTTCTCGATCACTGGGATGATGTACATATTATGTTTGACGGGAGTTTTTGTTTTATAGGGTGGGAAGGGCCTTGGGCAGTGGGAATACAGACGTGGATTAGAATTTGAACTCTATAATATAGAGTGGATTGTATATGTTTGTGGGGATTGTCTATTTCTACAGACTGTCAGATCAATGAGTTTCATAAACTCATTTAAGAGTTGTTGTTTTTTTGTTTTGTTTTTTGTTGCTTTGTACTCACTTTTTACACAAAAATAAATCATATATGAAAGTGAGCAAATATGTTGTTCTGTATTTTTTCTTAACTAAATGGCGACTTTTTTTGCTGTCTTTAAAGCTTCAGGTATAGCCCATCTCATCTCAAATATACTGAAAACACAAAAAAAGTTTTCTTAAAAAAAACAAGAGTTAAAGTGATTCCCTCCACTCCATCTCCCCTATAGCTGTTTATATTGTTTATATATTATTGATATGAAATCACTGTCACTTTAAAGACTTCTGATGAAATAAGCTAAAGAGAAAGTTTTTATAAAACTACATACAGGTAAATGCAAGATAAAGTGAATAATAGTGGTTAAAAAGGTCAAAGTACAGTGCATCTGCCAAAAATCTTTCCAGATAGAGTCACTGTGGACTTTTTTTGTGTTAGCATATGATCTGTTACAGGCCTACACAACAATGTCTAAATGTGAGTCACTTGTATTTAAATTTAGCACAACTGTCATCTTGAGTGTCTGTAGTCTCTTTTAAAAAGACCTTTGCCCACAGAAATACAGTTCAGTGCAATAGTGCCCTTTTGTCAAACTTTGATAAGCACTATTCATTTAATTTAATCTGGCCTCCAAGACAGAGTGATTATATGGTCTTGAGCGTCCACACTTAAGATTTGTGTGTTGAGTAAGCGATCTGTAATGCGATCTGTAGGACGCTTTCAACCATAATAGTTCATATAGCGACATCCAGTGCTCAAAGTGATAATCACATAGGCCTACATATCCGTTGTTGGCACCGCAAAAAATGAACTGGCGCCATCGTGTGGCTTGTATGTAAATGAATAATAGGTCTGTATGTGAATGAAGTATAACTATATTGGCTAGAGGCTAGTTGTTGCACTTTTAATTCTATACAGTAGATCATTTCACCTGTTGCTCCCTTTCAAAGCACATTTCGTGTTGACCACGTGCCCAATCACAGGGGTCACACTTACTGCCATATTCAATCTAAATTTGACCGTCAATAATTTTTACCCATCTGTGAATGTATGTCATCAGCACAGTTTACAGTGTTCACGTTTGCCCAACCAGGCTATAACATAAATACGATAATGTATAGCCTACTACAGATAGACCGCTTTTCTTTACTTATTTGGAAACAAAATACGTACAAAACGCCGCTAGCAACATTTGACCCCAAACTGAGATAGGCTAGCCTACGTATCTATGTTTAGTAGCCTAACATTTCAGAAGTATTCAGTGATGCTTCATTATTATGTCAGGAAAAGCTGCTAATAAGGCAGGCCTACAAACAGGCAAAGCTCTGCACTGAATTTCTGTAATACTGTATTCTATCGTTCAACTGTGTGTTTTCTTTTGTTCAAATAAGTATATGTGACCCTAAATCAGAAATTTATTTTTTAACCCCTGTCTCTTATTTCAGAAGTTTTATTTTATTTTATTTTATTATTTTTTATTTCAGAAGTCAATGGTTCTTGTTATAATTTGTTGAGTGCTACAGTGATGACGTATTTTTGTACGCCAACCCGGAAGTTATCATCAGCCAGTTATCCATTGGCTTTTGGATTAGTGCCTAAATGTTCTCACACGTTTCACAAATGAACAGAACTTTTATGAATTGTTTTATGAAACGCGTGGGCAATAAATGAATGCCTATCATTAACCTTCTGCCAACTTTCAGACGTTTTTTTTTTATTTTATTTTTTTCATATTTCCTAAAAGTTTGATTTAAATAGTTTAGAATAGCTCTAAGCACGATGAGGCCCATGGAAGTGATTAGATGAGTTTTAGCCTGCCTCTTCATTGCCCCCAAAACCAAGAGTATTAGCAATTTGTTAGCAATCGCCCTTTTCAAGACAAAATATATCTATTTTAAATCACAAGGGGATTTTACTGATTTCACTTTACTGATATGTCCATGTCTCTCCAGAAGAGGGCGCACTAGAGCAAATGACACGAACCTTCTCAACACAATTTTGTGTTCATTGAGTGCTGTGTCACATGCTTATAGTCCGAAGTTTTGCGAACATATGAACGAATATAAATAATCATTTACTTTCAAGAACTCACATTATAGACGTATCTTACAGTTTAATAGTTTGAAACATTAGTTTTCTAAATAATACATGGCATCTGATGTCTAATCTTTTTACTTGGCTTGTATCCTTAAAAGAAAATTTGGAAAAGAAAATGGGCCCCAGCATATTGCCCTCCCTTTTAAGTTGGTTTGATAATACAGCTTTCACATAAAAATAAAAAACATTTCCCTTTGAATGTGATTATGTGAGGCCTTTAAGACATTTTAGAGCATTTTCTTCTGAATTACAAAAAAATGACCCAAGTCATTAATTTGAGTCAAATAATACAAATTAATGAATTAACTGAAATAAATTCTCAGTTTGAACAATTCGGACTGTTACCAATGAAATCAGTTACAAAGGCCACAATAAACAATGCACAAGTAGCCTAGGCTACCACAATAAATGCTCTGTTAAAATATTTAAAGTCTGCTCCTACTCCTACTAGACTGAGACTTAGTCAATGGGGCCTATTAAACGTTCTCTAAAATATCTTCTTTTGATGGCATTTTCATTATTCAACAGGGTGATTAATTACCATGTGTACCTTTTGTTGGCTCATTGTAAAACATTTTTCATTGTGAAGGGTCATATTCATCCACAGAGTCACGGAACAAGCAAAACAATGTTTTTTTCACAAAATTCATGCTGGTTTTTTTTTTTTTTTTTTTTTTTTTTTACACTTAGCCTACATTTACATTTAGTCAATTTGCAGGCACTTTTATCCAAAGCGACTTACAAATTAGGACTAAATTAAAGAGAGTCATTGTGAAGAGGCAAAAACAACACAAGAAGTGCTCAAAATATAAAGAACAGGTTGGTGCTTGCAACGCCAAGATCATGGGTTTGATTCCCAGGGAAAGTAAGAACTGATAAGAATGAAGGCTAAATGTGTACCTTGAAATGCAATGTAAATCGCTTTGGATAAAAGTGTCTGCCAAATGCACAAATGTAAAAATATATCTTTCTATATATTGAACCATATGATTAATATATTGAATTTGATCATTTATCTCTTGTTATGTGTATGTGCGGTTATTAACCTATATGTTGGTTCAGTATGTCATATTTATTTTGTACTTTTATTTTGTAAGAGCTAGGAATGCCATTGCTTTGCCAAAGGTTATTTGCCTCTCCTAAACGACGGCCATGATTGGGCAAATGGCCGGGTGGGAGAGTCTCAACAATCATCTGAAGCATGGTGGGGGGTTCACTCTTTGTGCCAGACGATAAGATCCTTTCAAATGTTAAGGTTCTTTTCTGTGGGGTTGTTTAGGGCTTTAAATCTCTTGTCACCTTTCATGGAGTCAGGCCACGCCAGAGTCAACTATTTTCCATTTTGTTGTTAAAAAAACATTGACATTTAAGATTAAACGATGAGGGTGATTCATTTGGAAACCATAGAAATACAATGGGCATACTGTAAAGTCATCTTTCAACATTATTATGTGTGTAAATAAATGCTGATGATTGTTGTATGTGCTATTTTTCATAGAACAAAAGTGTACTTCAAGTGATACGAGTTCATTTGTAAGCAAACCGTTCGTTTTTTGTATAAAATGAAATGTATTTATATGAATTATATCTATGCTAAATCCAAAAATGACTAGGATATGTTTGATAACGCTGTTGATGTAATGTCTAGAGACCCTTGTTCACAAGAGATTAAAAATACGCTGTCTCTTTAAGAGGAAGAACGCCAGCCACCAACTGTTACATGTAAATATATTCAGAATCCGAATGAGTGAGGCGTGCCAGCAGCCAATCGCTGAGCGCCTCCAACCGCGGGAGATCCAAATTTCGCGGGACGTAATTTGGCGCTAAAATACCACTCCTCTGTTGAGCTGATGTCAAAGCAAAGCTTCTCTGCCGGAGAGGGATTACACACACAGAGGGACGTTTCCCACCACTGCCGGCTTTACGCAACAACAACGAAAGGAACATTTTCCAAGCTTTGCTTACCTTTTAAAGGTAGATTTATAAAACTGAATGACCCGGGTACGTTTATATGTTCGACTTAAGTTATTTGCAGTATATTAAGACATAGTAGTCTCTCTACTTCCACTACAACAAAGGACCCCTGTGAGAGAGTTTTGTGTACATCGGATTTTATATTTGTGTTATTTTCCACGCATCATTTATTTACAACTTTAACAGGATTTATTATCCTGAAGTGCATATCGTCTGTAGCATTTGCAGTCTTTAAAAATATACATAATCATTTTGACGTTTGACTTTTTCTCCAGTAAGCTAGAGACGCGATTTGCCTAATACAATAGTTTATTTTGCGTCACTTTCGCGGGTTTTCGTGCGCAAAATGATGCGGATACCCAGAGGGATTTCTCCTGCTTCTGGGAGAGGTGCAGTCTCTGGACTCTCGTGCCCGCAGAAGAAAATGTTCTCCGCGGTGAGGACGGATTTTTTCAACACTGGACTTGCAAGCCCACCGTCGAATCTGGTACCGACTGGATACTTCACTCAGATCGGGAACACAGCAGCTGCGGAGCAGAGAGCCAACTGTTTGTACGCGACCCCCCATGGGCCCGAACCTAAGCCGACGCGGATCTCTTCCGGGCGGCTGCCGGTAAGCCTCTTTCCATCGACACTCCAATTCTTGCTATTACCTTATGAATGCGCATGCATGCTTCCTGTTTCATGTCCTAGTTCAATCATGAGATGTACTAAAACGCGGCTACAGTCACAGTGTGAAATTCACGTTCTACAGCATTAAAAACTTCCCGGCCGTGTCTGGCCTCGGCAGGGAGTTTTATTTGTAAGTTACCATCATTTCTAATGTATACTGAAAATCTGTCTTTTCCTCATGAATGAATAAAGCAGGCCAGTAATGTGAGAACATAACAACTTATGTATATGTCAGTCATGGCATTAGGATAGGACCTTTAGCTAAGAGTGTGGCAAGCCATTTGATTACAAAGCCATTTGACAAGCCACTTTCTTAAACTTTTACTTTAAAATAAGTTCTTATCGTTTTTGCTATTAGTCACAATATAAACCTTAGTCTACTTAATTTTTGATAGGAAGAATGAATACAAGGAGGAATATAAGTACAGTGAGTTCAAATGCCTTAGCATACTGTTTAACAACTTCCCATTTGTTTAGCTGATGAAATATCTTGACAAAAATTCAGTTGACAAAACTATATAATGCTGTGTTTTGAATTTACATATGACATAGGTCTTTTATACAGTCAAATCAATCACTCTGAACCCTGTTTTTAAATGTGTACAATTCAGTATACAATACTATCTACCCTGACAAGGCCTAGGCCTATATTCCCTGGTTCCATTTAAAGAAAATTGCTAATTTATGTAATTTTAATTCTGTAGAAGTCTGTTGTTCAAATATCAACATTACGAATACTCTCTACTGTTTAATAAATTGATGGTGTCTATGAAAACTAATAAATACTAGTAGCTAGCAGCTAAAGTATCAGTACTGGTGCCTAATTAATCAGTATTAAAGCTGAGATCTAAACCTACAACAATCAGAATGCACAAGTCAAAAGATAATCATTTATATCTGAAACACTGATCACCAATTACAAAAAATGTGCAATTTGTTGGCTGTGGGAAGCGCATAGTTGCCTTGGTTGGGAAAATTGCTAGTAGTAGGAAAAGTATTTTTTACCAGAATTTAATGAATAGCTACTAGTGAAATTGAGGGGAAAAGGCTTTTTCCTATTGCATTACTTACTTGTCAATGCAAATAAGTACTAGTTACATCAAATTAGACAGTTTAATTATTTTTATGGAGTAATTGTTTAAGTGGCTTGCCATAAAAGGGTTTTTTCAGGGGGGGAGGTGGTAGATTGATGGGGGAAGGGTGCTTTACAGCTTCTGGACTGGACATTATATTATATGGTTCATGCCTAATAGTAAAGCGGGGGAAGGGTCCTCAAAGCTAAAGCCAAATGTTTAAATGACCCAGGTTCATTAGACTGATCCGCAAACTGGTCATGTATTTGTTTGTGTTAACTCTTGAATTCTATTGCTTTTATTATGTAGCTGTATTTGTATTTATCACTCGATTTCCCCCACCCCCGTGGCCTTGCACACCTGTCTCACCATTCATCCTCACAGAAGCCCAACCTGAAAAGGTCAAAAAGGTCAGAGTAATTGTTCCAGGAACTGCCTGTGTCGAACTTCTCTCTGTGTTGCTTGCTGCTTCCAGCTGATAAACAAAAGGGATGATCACAGACTCACACTGCAAAATATGGGTTAGGGCTGATAACAGACTGGGCGACGCCATCTACATTGGAGGACTGATATACATGCCTCATAAACTCTGACTTTCTATTATAATAAGCCTGTCTCAGACTGCTTCTCTAGGTTTGAATTAATCCGTTGATCAACCTAACCATAACCTCATCACTTACGTTAACAAATCAGGCCTTGTCCCAGTGCTTTCCCTGATTCCATTTATTTTTTTTTAATCATTCCAATTTCTTTTACCTCTTTTCTGGAAGCTCCATATGGCATCGTTAACTACTTCCAATTTCCTTGTTTCAGTTTTTCACACAAATGTGCAACAGTTATATCTCTTGCTGTAAAGAGTTTCACTTTTGTTCTCTGCCCCTTCTTCAGTTTGACGTAAAGGACACACCTGAAGCTCCCATTACTGTCCTTAGACCTTTTTGAACGTTTACTCTAAAAACTAAAATTGTGAATTCCATTTAACAAATTTTGTAGAAACTTATAGAACCCTTGAGCCTCAATTCTTTAAAATGACTTGGTCAACATTAAGTTATAATTTACCCATCCAAATATAATTGACCTATCCTCTCCAAAAACACATTTGTGGACTTATTGTAAATGAGTTCTGATCAATGTTGCATTTTATTCCAAAGAACAACAAAAAATAGTTTGTCTTCATAATTAATCATTGTGTAAAGGATGTTTATCCACCTTTTTTTTCAATGTGGAAGTAAGCCAGTTCCTGTGTAAAACACTTAAGACACATTACAAATTACACTGTAGTGTTCACTGTATAAATGAAATGTAGATTAATCTTTGTTAAATTTCGGCAAGCTCCAAAGAATGAAAAATAAGGATTAGAGAACTATACAATAGAGCCAAACTTTGAGGATTGAAATAAGGTCATGGAGATCACTAGGTCTCTGGTTCACTCCAAATCTCACGTGTCCGAGATCAAATGATCAACCAGTGGTCTGTGATCACCATGTTAACGAACACATGATTTGGCTTTGTTTCCTGAGATCCTTGTGAAGCCCTCCCTCTCTTCCACCCCCACCGCTTCCCAGAGTCCCTCAAGCCATTTTATCTCATTTCATTCTCTTAATTTACCTATTTCACCCTGTGGGGCCTCCGGTAGCCAGGTGTTGCATCAACAAGGTGGGTGATGGGCCTCAAGCTGTTTAAATTGTGTAATTTAGATTGCACTGCATAGACCCATCTGCCCATGTTTTGCATTTCAAAGTATCATCCTCTTACGCCCTTTTCATCTGGACTTCCCCTTTAGCCTTTACCTGTGTCTCCCTTTCGTTTTGACACCTCGAAATACCTCACTGACGCAGAAGGACTTTTATCGCTCTTACAGTTTGAGTAATAGTGCCTGTGTGTTTGGGAGTGGCACAGTTTGCAGGTCATTTTTCTCACTTGTGTCTGCCGGCGTACAGAAACCTGTTCTTTTCAGGCAGATTGTGTTCGTTAAAAACCCCTCTCAGATTAGTTGGAAAGTTACTCAATAACACTGTTTAGGAATCTTGATTTCAGTTAAAACATAAGTTAGTTTAGCAATAATGAGTTATATGAGCGTATAAAGAGAGATCAACCAATATTGTTTTTATGACTTCATACTGATAACTGATCATATTTTTATACTTAAGTATCTGATAGCAATTGCTGTAATGAGCAAATTATGGTTGGATTTTTTTAAAACTATGATAACTAAATATAAGCATTATAAATATTTCAATTATATTAAGTTATTTTTCTTAACCTATTGAGTTGCTAAGATCACATACAGACCATAATGGTCACCGCATGCTGCTATCAATTTAAATTCTTGAAAAGCATTCAAGGTACACACAGATACAATGTGCAGGAAGATATTGATTCTGTATGCAACACACACACACACACACACACACACACACTCTCTTGTGCTATCCTCTGTATATACACTGCGGTGTGTGATGTTGGCTTACTCAGTGGATTTGCATATCTTTAGGAAACTCCTGAGCTTGGAGCGGTCCCACCAATTTCTGATATAAATCAGTTTATTAGCTAGTGGTTAATTTTTTTTTTAGTAGGTACATTAAGGCTAAGCCTGCTCCCAGATCAGTGCTTTATAAGTGAATGATTTGGCTTCCACCCCATCCGCTCTGAGCCAGCATTTCTCACTTCTCATTTCCCACTGACACAGGAAATGGGCAGAACCAACCACAAACTCTTACAGACATGAGATGCTGCTGTTCTGAGAAACAGAACCACACAAAGTATATTTATTATACACAAATATATAAGTATTAGTCATTACAACAACAAAAAAGAAGAAAGAAAAGTAAAAAGAATGGAAGGGGGAAACCAAAAAACCCAAAAGATTGCGCTCCTCCTCTCCCTCAACCACATGCTCGGCTGCTCCAGATGTCAGTGACAGGTGTAAATGTTGTTCAGGTCAGGACAGTGCAAACATTTTAGCAGATGCTCGTGCACGCAGGATAAGTGAACTGTTCTCAGCACGTGCTTAGTGTCTATTGCAGAAGTGTTCTGTCTTGGGTGATCTGCAGCCCTGAATGGCATTGGAAAACAAACAGGAATGTGTGGAGGCAGGTTTACCCGTCATTTGGCTTCTCTAAACCAGTTCTTTGTGGAGTTGGGTTGCTGAAACAAGCCCATCTGCCCGGTGTGGAATGCTAAAGATTTCAGAAATGTGTTATGCTCATATTATTCGCTCCTTAAAGGTTTTAATGGTAAAAGGTTTGAATTAATACAGATGGTCGTGTCAGGCTCAAAGATAAATTTAAAACCGTACTGACCAGAGGTTCACAATATCAGGTTTTTTGTTAATGTGGTTATGAATGTTAGACTCTGTTTAAATTTGATTGAGATCCTTTTGGGGTGATTCAATCATAAATGGAGGTATAGTCCAAGACACTTTGCAACTGATCAATGAAGCCACACTCAAAATGTGGTTAAAAACATGATCACTTCTTATTTTTAGTACAAATGCTTGCATTCTGACTTGTTCCAGACAAAGGGCTGCCTACTTGCCTTGAAACCAAACATGAGGGGTTCAGAGCGGAGTGGACTACCAGCTATACAGCGTGCCAACCGCGAAAATCCAGCTGTATTCTAACAGTAACTTAGCTCTCCTTATTAGCTAGGCTCCTTGCATGCTGGCTAATAACTTTTTTTAAAGCTGAGTCTCCAACATTAACAGCGCTATGTTGGTGAGAGAGAGTTTGAGAGAGGTAGTGCTGTGGGAATGCCCTACGGCGATCTGCAAAAAAAAAAATCAAAATTCAATGTGTGGCGATCAGCGTTGATATTGTGGCGGGCCGCCACAAATAAATGAATGTATGGGAAACTCTGCCCTCTAATTTAACTGTCACCTTCCTCTGGGATGATTTAAGTTGTGTTCAGTTCTATATTTGAAGTTTCCAGGTCTTTTATTTTCACTTCTACCTTTCTCAGACTTGAGAAATTTACATTCTCAGGAAAATAGCCGTTTATCAGTTAATCGTTAATCGCTCGATAAGGAATAACGAATTAATCAATAATTTGCATACCTAGTTTGGTTAAATCCGTCCCTTTCTTATAATCGACGGCAAGCTCTCATTCCGGTCTGCCTCCATCTAATCAACAACCAATGGATTGAACCAAGTCTTCCCCCTACGTTTATTTTCCGATAATACGTTTTATTCGGATGTATGGCACAGTACATGAGAACTTTCATTGCATTGCAACTTTGCCAGTTACACGTTTGCTGATATGTTCAAAAAACGTACTTTAGTCGTCACTGAGGTGATCATCTCAAGGAAGATAGGACTTTTTTATTATTATTATTATTTTATATTTTTTTTAGGATGGGAACACACTCCTTCCTGAAAACTGAAAAAAAGTTTAGTTTAGCAAATGTAATTTTTTCACCTTCTTCGAAACCAAGGACACAATGCTAAACTCGGAGCTATGTTCATTCAGATGATTTAGTGAAACTACTTTTTGAAACTAAGTTTTAAGGCAGATATAATGAACATTCTCTTGTTTTCGGTCTTTCTCAGGCCAAGAGGAGACTGGATCTGGAAGAGCCACTTTATCTCCCAGAGTTCTGCACGCCAAAAGGGAAGGGAAACTCTGCATGTGCGAGGGCACCAAGCCCTAAAAGTGAGTACAACATAATGATCTACAACTAAGCACTGTTTGGACAAATGGAGATTTGTTGATTCCAAGACCACTGTTTCCATATGTTGACTGAGGGACCGGACGTTTCTACCTGTTTTAGGGCCTCTCATCATAATTGGTTTGAAAAGTAAACACACCTGTTTAATGATCTCTTGCTTTTCTAGTAGGAACTGCAGCTGGTAATACTCCAACTCTAACTACAAACTAAAAGAATGGCTCTATTGTATCTCTCTCTCTCTCTAGCTCCCAAGTCTCCAGGGGAACGTACCCGTTATGACACTTCCCTCGGTCTGCTGACTAAGAAATTTGTGGGCTTGCTGAGCGAATCGGCTGACGGGGTTCTGGATCTGAACTGGGCCACAGAGGTTCTAGAGGTTCAGAAGAGACGCATCTATGACATCACCAACGTTCTGGAGGGAGTTCAGCTCATCCGCAAGAAATCCAAAAACAACATCCAGTGGATGTGAGTGTGTTAGATGTTCTGTAAATCAGAGTGATAAATGCTCAAATTTGATTTGACTGATTAAATGCATGACATGAACTCTAAGATGGTGTTGTATTCCATTCTAAATGGTCCCAATTTCCGGTTTGACAACTTGATTTCTGAAGGACATTGTGAAAATTATCAGGAATAAATTGCCTATTAAAAATGAAAAACACAAATTTATATAATTATCATGGTTTCTTCAGTTTCAAACAGTATGTTCTCTGTATGTTGTGTGCTTTAGGGTCAGTGGTGTGTTTGAGGGCTCGTCCTGCAATTCAGAGAAGACCAGTGCTCTCAAGAAAGAGCTTTCTGAGCTGGACAGGCAGGAGAAAGCTCTGGACGACCTCATTCAGTCTAGCTCAACACGGCTACGAGAACTGACAGAGAACAAGGACAACCAAAGATATCCTTTCATTGTGTGTGTTTGTGTTTGTTCTCTGAAGAACTGAGGAGTGGTTTGTCGACTTCACGTTTGTGTGCTTGTTCATACATGCTGTTCAAACAGCCAAACACTACAAGGCTTAGATATCGTCCTCTTTTCTCTCTATTGTGTGTCATTTATAGTTCAGTTCATTTGAAATGCAATAACTGTCTGTCATTTTAAAACCTGTATTAGATGTCAAAGCAGTTTGTCCTTAACTCAAACTCACATTAGGATATGTGACCCATCAGGACATTCGTACCATAACCAGCTTGAAAGATCAAACTGTTATAGCTGTGAAGGCACCATCTGAAACCAAACTGGAAGTTCCGGAAGCATCTGAGGTCCGTATTCGTCTTTCGTTTCACACTGGACACATAAGCAGTGCATATTTTTTTCAGGGGGACATGTTAACGAAGCATTCACAGTGCACAAACAATCGTTTCCCCGCTGAGTCTATTTTTGGTGCGCCACTTATGCTGAAAAAGTTAACATGTAAAATAACAAATTTCACTATAAATCATACAAGTGAAGTGATCCATGTTTCACAATATGACATTGAGCGCTATTCAAAGGCTTGTTTAAATGATCAAAACTTATATATTATTACATATATTTATAATGTATACAGCATGTTATACGCGTGTGTGGGACAGTAGGAGAGGAACACTTTTTTGATTTTATTTTTTTTTATCTGCTGATGTGATTTTTGTTCTAACCCAATCAGAATCATTTAATATTGTATTATTAAATTCTTAGAGTTAGAATTCAAATTTCGTAACCAAGAATTGATTATTTATGACCCACCAGATGTTTAAAACTTTGTTAATACTGCCTATAGGAAAATCTCATCATTTTATTTTTTTCTTCTCTAGGGCTCGCTGCAGATTTACTTGAAGAGCAAGAACGGTCCAATTGAGGTGTACTTGTGTCCTGAAGAATGTTTGGAGGACGCTAGTCCCATCAAAAATGCCACTCCCAGAAAAGATTACCCACAATCCCCCTGTGCCTCCACACCCTCCATCTTCCCACCTGCCAAACCCCTGGCAGTTGAAGGTGAGACAATTACCAGGAACTTATTACTACTTATCACTTTCAAAGCAAAACAAAAAGTGTTAAAGTATTTTGGAGCCAATAACAACAGTTTACTTTTAATGTTTGAGTTGAATAAGATCTAGTGGGGGACAGATGTGTGCAAGAGTTTAAGAATAAAGAGCTGTGTATCTAAACCCATCTACAAAACCTTGCTACTAGCTTTTTGATAATCCTAGCTATCAAAACACAAGCTGAATGCAGTCCGTTTCGTTGTTCAGGTTTGCCGTCAAAGCCTCAGCAATCAATTACGGGCACAAGCGAAAGCACGTCCCAGCTTGATGTGGAGGGGATTCTGGATCTTCCTCCCAGCCTTCTGCAAATCACCGAAGACCAGCTACCCGGGTTGGCCTTCACATCCGACACCTCTGGGCCTTTTGTTAGCTTCTCTCCTCAGCTCAGCCACGACGACTACCTCTGGGGTCTGGAGGATGGAGAAGGCGTATCTGACTTTTTTGACACGTATGATTTGGGAGATTTGCTTAAAACATGAGGCATCCGGTGGAACGGAACAACTGACGGCATGTATGTTCAATTGTAATTAGTTTAATTCAGATTCAGATCCTATGAAGTTTTAAAACACTCCTTCACATTATGACAGATTGAAGTTCATATAAAATGCACTACTGAATTGGCTTAATTGGTTCTCTTTCTACTAGACAGTAAATTTGGGATGAGGCGGTGTTTTAATATTTTAATACTGTAGTTATTAGAACCAGACAATATTGTCAACAAGCACCCACTAGAGGAGATTCATGTGTTAGGTTTAGTAGACTATGAAGCCATATTTTTTTTTTATTTCTGTCAGCCATATTATGCCTAGAGTAGGGTGTTTGAGAAAACAAAAATCAATTTGTCTTGTGGTTTAATTATTTAAATTTAAGTTAAATGTTCACCTGTTAGCATTGTTTTTAGTCATCGTTACTTAATTATTTACCTAAACGAAAAAAAGGCCTATGTATTTGCCTTGTCTAAGTATGAGCTAGTAATTCTTGAAAGAGATGTATGAAACTCAGGTCGTTTTAAAGCTTTTCTAAAGCTTTAATTATTGTAGTACTGTCAAACATTACCAGCAGGGGGCGATGTGGTCATTTTTTTTTCATCTGTCACCAAACAAAGGTGCTTCTGCAGATATGTAGACCAGTGAATATTATAGACTAAAGATTTGAGAGCTTGTATGTAGTGCGCCTGCTTCATCGACGTCAGACTCAACTTGAACCAGAGATCTGAAAAACTCAGTCATTCAAATCATTTCAGTTAAGAAACAAGTGCTCAGATTTTAAGACATGGGTTCTTGTCTGTTCATTCTACCTCCATCTTTTTAGTTTTGGACTCTGGTAATGCCTTGATCTTGTAACTGTGGGCTTTCCAATGGCACTGAATAATGATTATGTAGAACTACATAATGCCTCAAGAAACAAGATTGTACCCCTGACACGTCTGTGTATTAAAACCTCAGGGAATGTCTAGATTTGGCAGCTGATTTCCAAATGATTAATTCAAAGTGATTTAAACTGGTACTGTTTGATGGCTGTAGAATCAGTTTTTCCTGAAATTATGGTAATGGAGTTCTCAGGGTTCACTTCTCCACTCTGTGTAGTTTAGGGGCCTTTAATATGATCTGGCAGAAACCTTTGATACTGTTTGAAGGCTGAACTGCTGGGAATACAAAGCGAACTTTGTTTCCAGGATTTTTTTTTCTTCCCCTTTTGGAGTTGGAACTCTTGCCACACCTGAATGGTAGGTTTTATAGCTCCAGAGACATAGCAGAATTGTATCTGGTTAGTGTAGAAAAACACTTACTGAAAACACCCATCTTAAATGCAGAGCACATTTGAGTTGGGAGAACAATATGGAAAAGCTTGATTTTTACAACTATATAACCATACCCAGTTCTGCAGTGAAATTATTCTTCTGCCCCAGACTAAAACTTGTATTTAGCATCATTCTAGAAAACATTTGTTTAGGGGTTGGGGTGGGTTTAAGAGAAGTTGTTAATCAGATTTGATTAACTTGTATATGCCTTTTGAATTGTGTACAAAAGTTTTAGCTGGGGTTTGCTTCATGCAACTGTCCCAAATGTGGACAACTGTCCTGTCCTAACAAACTTGAAAAATGTGCGTCTGTATATGCATGAGTGTATTGAAGTGTGTACTTAAAGTTTGCAGTTTTGTGCATTTGATTGTAGTTTATAGTGGGGGGGTTTCTTTTTTAAATTGTACAGAATGATAATTTTGTATTTATAGGTTTTGTATTTGAAGGAAAATGGTAATTGTCTCAGGATATGTCATTTTTATAAATACCGTCTGTTAACTGGCAGCACTTAATATTTGGTAGTGTGTGTGTGTGTGTGTGTTTAAATTAATAAAGCACTGGTATAAAGCTCAAAGTGGTATTTTATGTATACAAGCATTTTCTGTTAAAAGTGACAGTTTTGCTCTTGTTACGTGCAAACAAACGTCCACATGGATGTATGCAGGTGCAGTAACACTATTTTAGCTGGGACTGCTTTTTTCACAAGACGGTGAGCTGCAGGGTTCACCTGCACAGAGGAACTGCCATGAAGATGAGTCAGTAAAAATTGACACATCCAGACGGAAACGACACAGACTGATAAATATGATGGATTAACGACAGCAGAAATTCTTCATTCCAAGTTTAAAAATATGGTGTTACACAGACACAACCAGTGCCATCACAAAACATGGTTATAGTTTTAAAAACCTTGCTTCTGGTTAGTAAATAAATAGCTTTTAGAATATATTCTACTGTTCAAAAGTTTAGGGTCACTATGATTAATACTTCTTAATATAAAATTTATAAATAAATAAAAAATCAGCAAGAAAATGTTTATTTGATGTGATAAAAGGTTTTATTTTCAAATAGATACTTTTTGTTTTACCATCACAGGAATATATTGCATTAAAAAAAAAACCTTGGTGAGCATACTTCTTGAGGAAATGTTTTATTTTATTGTCACATTTGGGACTATTTCACATTCATGTGTCACAGCCTGTTGCTTAAGCATAGATTAGTTTGAAGCCATTTATGTGTTATGAGGCGATGACAGTCAAATCTCTTGCCAGTTTCATTTAGGTACATTATGACCTGCCTCTGCTTTTCTAATTCACTTAAGCTGCATCATGGGAGACCACAGAGATTTTATATTAACACAATTGATTTTTGTGCTCACTTTTTATAGATATTGGCCTCTTTTTATTTGCCCCAAAACAACTGTGTAATCTAATATTTTAGCTTATCCAAAATAAGTAACCATAAGTGACTGAATATATCACTGAAATCAAATGTTTAAATCTAATTTACATTTAAAATATGTACAATTTTGCTAATCTCAAATATGGCTCCTCTTCTCAAAGACATTGTAATATTGTGGTTCAAAATATGAGAATGACATTTCCCTTAAAGGGATAGTTCACTTTCACTCAAATTAATTTTTGATATGTTTTAGCTTACCTCAAGGGCATCCAAGATGGTGTCTTTATTTCCATAGTATTTTCAATTTAGATTTTTTTTTTTAGGTCAAACCGTTCTTGTTTGTCAGTCATATAATGGAGGTATATGGGGTCCACCTCAAAGAGCATGCACAGAGAACTTATTTATCAAAAATTGATTTCAAAGTGAACTATCCCTTTAATTATTCAGTGAAAGCTTTTTCAAAACAAAAATAGATGGATATTTGTTTATAGGGCAGAACTATGTAATTGTAATAATAAAATTCCTGTCAAGTCAGCACAACCTTAATTAAATTGCAAGCATCACACAAGATTTCCAGAGGAGGATTTCGAATTTCCCCAGACAAACTGTCACACCCTCACAGAAAACACATTTATATCCTTGAAGTAAAACAGTAACCGTCTGTAACACCAGACCAGTCTGTCATTAAATACAAGAATTGCTACTAAACTGGTTTATAAACAAACTGTGATGAAATGAGACTTTTAGGGAGGATCTATGTCATTTTATGACTAGGCTGGGTGGTAATTCTGTGTATAGGGAGTGTTATAGTTGTTTTTATGTCTTCATCACATTTTAGTTTGAACTGTTAGCCATGCTAGCTTAAGTCTTGCTCTAGTTATGTGTAGAATCCCACTATCTAATTCCCTCTAAGATATAATTTGCTATCTTCTCTCTTTTGCAGTGTTTTAATGTAAACGTGGCCTCCCTGGGCTGACAAGGCAGGATAAATGATCCTTCTCCTGTCCTAGAGTCAACAGAACTTGGCAGTGTGGATGGGAGGGGCTGCTGTCTGCTGGGAATCCTTCTGGTCTGAGCTGTAACCTTTCCTGGAACACGCCTCAATGCTAGATCCAGCCCCCAGACACATGCTATTGGCTGATGGAGAAGAAACATTACAATGGTGGACAGACAAAGCCCAGTAAATATGCAGCACATTGTGGCCACAGCAATTTTAATGGTAGTGAGGTGGACAAGATGAGAAGATAAATAGAAAGGGTGGTCCAGAGGGCAGACTAGACCTCGCATAATGAAGCTACTGAGAAGTTTTTCATAAATGGCTTTTTGAAACTTTCTCTCATACTTCCTTTCTCTCTTTCACCCACTTTCCTTCTTCTCCCCCAGAGTGACGTCCACGCAGTTAAACGCAACATCTCTGCTCAGACCCTTTCACAAAGAGAGGCCATAGCCAGGGGGAGAAAGAGAGCATTGTTTGGCCACAAAACCACCATTACATCAACAATAACTCATGACAGAAAGAAAACACTGTGTGAGTGAGGGAACGCTTTGGGTTTGGGAGGATGGGGTGTACTTTGCAGAAATTAAGGTTACTAAACCAAGTTAACTTCATTAGTTTAGGTTTAGTTATTTTATATTTTGAATGTTTAGTAACTTGCATGTCTGAACCAAGTCAGCCCAAACAGTATCAACCCTTGTTCATTGTAAAATGACTCCATTTAAAAAGAGACATGGATTCATTTAACTTAATTGATTTAAAATTTTGTCTAAATTCTTAAGGAAAAATAAGAAGAAATAAAAAAAAAAAAAAATAGTAATGCTATCTTCATGCAGACAGAGTCTGATGTAACTGGCCTTATGACTCTTTAAACGGTCTGGGGTGTCTTTACATGCTTTTATTTGCAACTATGTGGAACAAAATGCATTATGCACTATGAAATTCTTGTACATTCCAAGGGGGATAAAGTCAGAGCTGATACCTGTCCAGCACATTACATCAGATGTAATAGTATACTGTATTGTTAGAGGCTGATGGGGTGTATACAGCTTTTCAAAGGCTAAAGGAAGAACCAGTAAGCCTCCATCATAAAGGTGGATGAAACATTTCTCAATATCTGTCTTATAAAGAATGCGTGTTATTCAGGACACCATGGAACATAAGCACAAAGCACTGCTGCTCTGGAGCAAAAAAATGCACTATTCAATCTGTCTTTTCAAATATTAAGGCTGCAAATGATTGGATAGGGTGCCAATTAGTGAAGCAATCTTTTGATGTTGTTTCAGGGGTGGGTTTCATTTAAACTTTTGACTGCAACAGATGAAGCGTGTTTATTCATGCACACGTAGTGTGTATAAGGAAATGGCTTATCTGCATTGTCACCTGAATAAGAGGGAAAGTGCGCGCTCAATCCCTTTCAATGGCACCACCATTTAAGGTCTCCTGATTGAAGTGCACAATGCACTAAACAACTTTATATAGGCTACAACCAGATTACAAATACAGGAAAGCAATTAAAACACGTCCAGACAGAGTTACTGTATTTGTATATAATGTATTAATAAGTACACTCACTAACCATATCTCAAAGACAATATTTCATGTGAAATTACATATAGAGGTGTAGCTACTTAGCTACCTCTTACTTAAATGGGTCAATTAGCACTCTTTAATTCAAGTAGCCTTTTTGCATTTAATATAAATTTAAACTATAATACATTTGAATTTCATTGTAATTAACATAAGTGTCCAAAACATTACATTCATTGATGTATGTTGTTTCATTCTACCAGCCACAAAATGAATCTTCTATTCATTTCGTCAGTAAACACAAACATTCCCACGTGATGATGGAATGACTCCCTCCCCTCTCGCTCACAAGCTGGACGCGGCACGCGCTATTGAACGCTCGCGCGGCACCAACAGAAAAAAAGTAGACCGAGTGCGCGCAGTGAAACTTTACCGACTCTCTCACACGGCGGAACACAGAGAAGATCCACGTTTTCGCCCTTGGTTGCAGCTATGAAACGTTTATTTCCCCATCTTTGGCAATCACGCTTACTTGTGGATATAAAGCATTTAATGGAGAGGCACTTTGCTTGATACTTTGCACTTTGTTTTGCTGGGATTTTTCTGGGATTTTAAGTTCATCGGTTGTTTCAGTTAAAAACATGCCGGAGAAGATAAGTATCTCGGATTTTGTTTCTTTGGCGAAAGAGGACCTATCGTCCCCGGGAAGCTCTGGATTTCAGTCTAAAATGAGCGACTGTCGGAGCACCGTGGCCACACTCGAAGAGGTAAGGGTGTTTACCTGTGTGTGTGCAGGTGGTGGAGGAGGACGACACCTGCGTGAATCCCTGTTCTTCAATCTATGTGAAAATCTCTTGACACAGGAAACGTTTTACTAGTACTGATTTCAAGATCTTCTAATATGAGAAAGATGGTATTATTTTGAATTTAGCCAAACTTAATGAAAGTTTTGTTAGTCTGCAGTTACTTCGGAGGACAAAAAAATTGTCATCTTTTTAAAATAATGAAATTGTTTTCAGTCAGGGCGACCTTTTGAGACGTGTTGTCTCTTTTAGGACACCTGTGTGAACAACAGAACTGACCTTTTGCCTTTTAGTAACCTGTTGCTAGTAAATTTTTTTCTAAACACTAGTGGTTTGAATGCATCATTGCACGTATGGGCTCGTGTTGTGGTTAGGAGTCAGGGGATGGCACAGGAGTCACAACAAGGAAAACAAAGATTGTTTTAAGAGCTTAACTTGCTTAGGACTTGTTGCAGTGAATAACACAGAATAACCCCACAGTTCTTAACAGCTGCATCATTCATTCATTGAGGAATATTGTTAATATAGAGTATTAAAGAGAGGTTGGACTGAGAACAGTACAGGTCTTATAAGCCTAATGTGGGTCTTTTGCTGCCAGCTCATCTTTAGGCATTTGTGTGGAAATTAATAGAGAATAGAGAAACTCTGCAAGTAATAACACTGGGCATGTCCGAACAGTTGAAGCCTTTCTTTTATTTCCGCCTTTTTCATGGGAAATGCTTTAGGAACTGCAGTTCTCTAGAGCAGTGGTTCTCAACCAGGGAGCCGGGACCCACTAGGGGCCTACTTTTTTTCAAGGAACTAGTAAAGTAACACATTACTTTTAAATTTACAGTAAATTTTCTA